CCTTCCATAACAAGTGAGGGGTCCTTGGTGGTCTCTGAACTTGGTTGTTTTCTTGCAGACGTTTCATTACCCAATGAAACAAACAAAGAATTGGATGATGAAACATCTGCAAGAAAACAACCAAGCTCAGAGAGCACCAAGGACCCCCCATTTCAACTCTGAACTACAAATATTCTCCTTTATTTTGATACCAATAAATGCCATTTCTCTCCTCCTGTCTCTTTTCCTGTATCCTGATCTGCACTGGATTCTACATACTTATCTCTCTTTTAAAAATACAGTGAGCAATTGCATGAATGACATGAATATGCAACTTGAACAAAATAAAATAAAAAACTATGCCATCCATTTCTGGTTCAGAATAGACTAATATAAGTTAGACAGCCTAGTGTCATGAGGGTGAGTTTGTGTCAAAGTAAAAATATGTGGAACACTGTTTAAAAAGTAACTCTAGTTGTTTAGTGAACAAAAAGATGATTTCTGCTTGAATGCAATTGTTAATTTTCATTCCAGAGATAGAGATTGTTGGTTCTTTTATACAGACTAGCAGAAAGGACATACACATAGCTTTTTTGCCTAATTTAATTTTGAATTAGTAATGTAACTCACATCACTTGTTTCATTCAGCTGCAGATCAAACTGCTCACTTGTTTACATTTGCTGTTTAATATCTTTTGATATATCATGAATATATGTATGAAGAGTGTCACTTGACATTAGTATCTATTCACTTTCCTTACAAGATCATCCCCACAGGTCATGTCTATCATGTCTCTATCTCCTGATTTCAGCAGGTCCTCATCAATAGCATACCATTTGTTTTGCTTTGCAATCTGTCAAGCAACATGACAAAAACGAAGATTTGGCTGCTGCACAGGATATCGTGTACACCTTTATTGGCTGGAGTGTCCAATCTCTGTTGTTGAAACTGTTCTTCCCTTTCAAAGTTTCTCTATTCAATGCCAGCAAAAGTGCTTGTTTAATTTTAAGTTGCTCTTTAGCTTATTCTGCTTTAGAAATTCATTAATTAGAACTTCAACACAAGCACATATGAGAAAAGTGAAACTTATCTCTATAAAAATCTTCTTTATAGCCATTTAGGGATTTGCCTATAGATGGGTTATGGGAAGAGATATTTGCTTGTAAGTTTATAAGGGGTGAAGAGTTATCAAATTTGTTTTTACTTGTTTTGAAGTTTGGAAGTCACTTTTTTCATTTTTCTTCTCTTTTTCTTTGACATATTTTTTTTTCTTTGCACTTAATTGTTTCATTCTATTTCTTTTTTTTCTGAGTTTAGTCTGTATTGGCTTTTACTATTAAATTCTTTAAAAACAAATTAATCAAAATATTTAATGAAAATTATGAAAAGTTCTACTATTTTTATTTATTTAGCATGACCAAATTTCATTACTAGTATTTCAGTACTAAATTCCAGCCTGAAACTTGACTGAAAGTGGTTTTGATAATCCATATCCTCCAGAGTTCTCATCAGCTGCAGACCAAACTTCTCAGCAACCTACACCAGAAAAGGTTGGAATAGTTGGTAGTTATCAAAGGCCATTGGTTCCAGAGATGGCCTCTTTGGGGAGCACCACTGCCTCTTTGAAGGCACCATCCAACCATCAAGGAAGCTGATGCTGTAGCATGGACTCAACCACAGGTCATCTTCTTGGCTTCTTTTATGACTCATAAGGGATCCAGATCCAGTAATAGGTGGCTGAACTGACAGCATGGAGAGCTATGTCCATTTCCTCAGGAGTCAGTGGCTCAAACACATCCCGGATCATACCAGACCATGTCCCAGGCAACCCAGCCTACCCTGCCCAGTCAGTGTCCAAGGTGGAAGAAATCTGAATGACTTTATCTGCCAGACAGCCTGAATAATTCTCACAATGGCCCAGCATATTTGGGGGGGGGGCCCTCACCTTATCCGATAGGGACTGGTTCACCCTAAATAGGAGTCCTGGCCAGCTATCAGGGGATGCAATAAGGGTAGAAAAACATTGGCATTTTGCTGCCTTATTACCACAAGTTAATCACTAATATGAGAGCCAGTTTGGTGCAGTTTCTATGCCTAACCTGAGCCTAAGGCAGGGGTAGGCAACCTCGGCTCTTTTATGACTCATGGACTTCAACTCCCAGAATTCTGGGAGTTGAAGTCCATGAGTCATAAAAAAGCCGAGGTTGCCTACCCCTGGCCTAAGGCATACGGCTAAAACTGGGAGACCCTGAGTTCTAGTCCTATCTTAGTAGAAAGCCAGTCACTTTGTCTCAAGAAGAAGGCAATGGCAAGACACTTTTGAAAAACCTTGACAAGAAAACTTCAGGGACGTGGACATGGACAAGAAGTGGACATGGTTGGATGGAAGAAAAAAACATACACCCTAATACAGACTCTCACCAGTGTCCAGTCAGACTGATATAGTCAAAGAGATCAAGAAATGATTAGTGTCAGAAATAAATAAGACAGATTAATCAAGGAGTGTGAATGTAGTTAAAAACGAAAGAGATTAAATCCTTGTCTCAATTGCCATGGTGACCCAAGAACTACTGTTGCCCTCTGCTAATATATAGGTAGGAAGACTGCACACAAAAACTATAGGATATTTCATTTTTTAAAGTGTGGCTGTGAAGTGTGACAGAGTTGTTGGTAGAATTTTGACTGAAATAGTATGAGAAGTGACAATGAGCAACATATGAGGAATGGAGTATCAAGCAGAAGGTTTTCAAAACAGATTTTTGCTTTCCAGCAGATAAACTGAGCAATATATAAAAGTGTATTATTGGTTTAGAGAAGCCATTTAATAAAGTGAATAGACTTGAATTATATAGTATTTTTCCAAGACAATTGAATTGAAGTGTGGTTGATGAATGCTTCCATTATGTACTGCTTGAATAACAAAATGTTAATTTTAATTATTAGAGATGGTTCAATATAAGTCAAGGATTGTGTGTTCTCCTTGACGATTTAATGTATTTATGGATATATTTATGTGGAATGTTTATGGTAGCAACAGAGTGTTTGTGGGGATGTGAATGTAGATGTACTATAGCATGCAGTTGATACTGTGTTCTTAGCTTGAGAACTCAAATAATTTCCAGTGAAAATTCAATAAATTATATAATGCAATGTGGAATATGAATCTGAAAATTAACATATCAAAGACCAATAGGTAAATTTGGCAGAGAAAAGGGAATGACAAATGAAGAAAACTAAAGCAAACAGATGAATTTATGTATCTTAGTAGGATTTTTAGCTGATTATGGAAACATTTTAAAAAGCCATATGTAGATTAAATACCATATGCAGGAGTTCTCCATTTTTGTAATAGCAAGATATCCCAAAATGATAAATGAGCTTGCATGCTCACAAATTGTAGATAAAATGAATGACATCATTTGGGTTAAGGATTTCAGGAAACCATCACGCTATTTCCTCTAAGACACGGGTGTCAAACTCGCCGCCTCACGTTACGTGTCGCGACATATTGTGAATTTTTTTTGCATTGCCGGAGCTGGGGTGGCCGTGACCTCCGCATGATGCAACCGATCTGTGAGCCGGCAATTTGACATCCCTGGTCTAAGATGCAGAACTTTCATTATGCTTTCTTGATTTAGCTCAATATTACCATTTGATTAGTCATTAATTTTACTAACACCTTCCTCTGAAATCTATAGGGTATAGATATACTACTACATGCTACATCAGAAATCACTATTATCAATAATAGCTCTGGCAAATGGCTAGATCCAATATTTTAACTACCGTATCTCTCAAAACTCGTGCTGGGCTTTGTTATGTAAGCTTGATATGTGTTTGCACTGACAAGGCCGGAGTACATTTTAATGAGGGGTCCTTGGTGATCTCTGACCTTGGTTGTTTTCTTGCAGATGTTTCATTACCCAAACTAGGTAACATCATTAGTGCTAATGATTAGCACTGATGATGTTACCTAGTTTGGGTAATAAAACATCTGCAAGAAAACAACCAAGGTCAGAGAACACCAAGGTTCCCTCATTTCAACCTTGAGCTACAAATATTCTCCTTTATTGGTACATTTTGATAATGTTCTGAGTTTGCCTAGGCAAGTCTGAATAGCTTTAAAAAATGCTATGACTCCTCTCCCCCCCAATCCTTTAAAACTGAAGAACTCCTGGTATAATACTGTGTGTGGTTTTTACTAGAATGAGATGCTTGTAGGAATCTCCAAACATTTGGGTACATTATTAGAAAACAGTTGGCTGGTCATGATTCGGAAGCCTTGAGGTTTGGTTTCCTCTTTCTTGCTCTGCTTGGATTTTTTTTCAGTATGTAGTCATATGTTGACTTTTTGTAAGCATCTGTATCATGAATTGATAGGGCTGAGCACTACTTTGGATTCAATGGGGAAAAGGTATTTTTGCAGCACATGCGAGAACTTCATGGCCCCTGTTGGGTCCTTTAAAGCAACTATGTCTTTCCAGGATTGCATGGGTGCCCTCTAGGGCTGCAGCATAATGCTGGAAAAGGTACATTTGGTGAAGCAGTTGCTGATAGATGCTCTACAAGTGCCTATGCATCACCAAAGTACCTTCTTTTCTGTGAATCTAAAGTGCCGTGTGCACTACCCTATCAATTGATCAGTTACAAATGACAAGTCTAATATTTTTCATGACGCCTATTAAAGAAAACCTGATATACAGTATATCCTCAGAGCTAACAGATTTTCACCTCCTATAGAAAGTTAAGAATTTAGGTTACTGTACTGAAATTGCTCAATCAATACTTGTCTTGGACAAAAATACTGTGATTGTTTTTCATTACCTTCACTAGACACAGAGCAAAGTTGAATGCATGGGAAGTCACACTCAATTCCATACATTTCTTTAATATTCCAGCTTAAATAATTATTAACTTTAGATGATTGGAATGAAATCCAATGATGAGGAAACAAGCCAAAACTCAATTTCTGTCATAGTAACAAGACTGATTAGAAAGATACTGTAGGTTATCTCCAGAGAACTTTAGTTTATTTAAATCAAGACAGTATACAAAAATGTCAGTAGGGTTTAAAAAACTGCAATAGAATTGGCTATGCTGAAAATTGATGGACAAAAATAATAATAAAAGCAGAACATTTTCTCTCATTCTTTTAGCACAATTTTAAAAGATGCTTGCTAGTTAATGAGTTTAGAGATGTTCTGTTTTTACTTGCTATTTTGGGCCCCCCAAATGATGGCTTTCAGTTGCTGAGCATGTTTGTGGTTGAACAATTCTTGCTGCTGGGTTTGTGTCATGCCTTTGTGTTTACAGTCAATACTGTGCGCTCCTGAGGTCCTGGCTGAGCAAAGTAGCCTATCAACAAATAGTGCAGGCTTCTTACTTGCCTGTTTGCTCAACTATATTTGGAACAGGTCATTTGTGGGGAGAAAACAGGTGACAAGGAGAGTAAGCATCACACATTGTCCACTCACATCCATGGAAAGTCCTGGTCTTTCTGTGCAGGTCAGAAGCCAGTTTCGGATAGCTTTGCCAGGACATATTTGCCCTTCCGATCCAAATTGTTCTTACAATGGATAGAGTACCAAAGGAACGAAGTTAATATCATCCCATAAATCTAAACAGAATAAATAAATGAAAAGGAAACAACCGTTTGAACATATATAGGTTAAATAGTACATTTCTGCACTATTCTTCCAAGCTATGAGAACAGCAGCAACAAAATACAATTAAAACAAAACCAACCTTTTGAACTAGGGAGTACTTTTTTAGACCAAGGTCCATACTTTCTCATGGATGCATGTCAAAGCCACAAGTGGGTGTCACCAAGTCACATCCACACACATCAACAATTCATGCATCCTCCTCCATGCGTGCACAGTGCATTTTATCTCCTCTCCTTCCTCAGTATATAAAAATGCTCAATCCATTCTGTACGCCCAAACAGAATGGATTGGGCTTGAAATGACTGAGAAAAAAAGTCTTTCAAAAAAATAAACTAAAAGATAATTTTCACTTTTTCCAGGACAAGTCTCCGTAGTCCTGGAATGCATGGCCCAAAAAAATCTTCTAAGCAATTGGTAAACCAACTACTGCTATTCAAACCAGCTTTCAGTTGCCCGAGAGAATAACACCTGTTGACTAGATCTCAGCTGGAGAGGCCATTTCAATGGGAAGAGGTAGTCCTTATAAACAGAAAAAATGCTGATCAATAGGTTGACATTGCATACCATTTGCAGAAAGGACTTGCAAAGCCTAGTTACACCCTCGGTAATTCCATGAAAGATGGAAAGATTAATGCAAGGAAGGAGGCAAATGTTCTTTCCAAAGGAAAGGATCAATACTTTATGTTCTTAAAACATAATTAGGAAATGCTATAATCTTTCATCTTAATTCTTATCCTGCTATCCCTTCTTTCTCCTCAAAGCAATTTCCAAGAAATCCATTTCTTTTATACCCTAATGCAGCTACCAGCAATTAAAGAAACCAATAATAAAATGCAATAAAAATCTGAAAGAGAAGGGAGCAACAAAACAGGGTAAAGCAAATGCAGATGATGCAATTATGTGTGAATATGCACTTTCTGTCATTATATTAATCCTAAATCAGCTGCAAAATAGAATATGTGACACAAAGACTTTGATCCAATCATGATTTGGGGGGAAAAAACAAGGCACTAATTACAGTGGCGTTTATCTTAAGAAACTGGGGAACAGCTTTACCTGATCTCAGTGCCAAAATCCAAGTAGATTAAAATATTGTTCATTAATTCATTTCTAATTATATAATTACATGGCCTGAGCTTATCTTGACATTCAGGCTGGGAAAGAAATATCTATATCAGACTTAGAAAGAAATTATATCCCAATATATTAGGGGAGAGATATGTTATATGCATATATGTTATATTATATTGATATGTATGTTATATTGATATGTAACATTTGCAGTCCAATCTTATGCAAATCTAACTCAAATCCCGCTGAATTTACTGAAGTTTAATTTTGCATACAGGTGCATGGAGTAGCAATTCTTGTCAGCTGATTAATCCATTAGAAGAAGGTCTTGATCATTTAATATGCCATATTTATTTACTGGGGAACCTAATGCTGTTTTTACTTCACTAACTTAAAGAAGAAACTATTAGCAAACACCATTAGAGATCAGGTGTTTGCAGGTCCAGAAAAGAATGAAAGTTTTAAAGTGTTGATTCATACTTATGTATATACAAAACAAGCAAATATGATTATTTTAGAAAAGAAGTTTTTTTACCTCTATGCAAATTTATGCAAGTCTCATTATCAAAATCTGTATTTATAAATGCAGTGGAATAATAAAAGGACCATTAAAAACAGTTATATTGGACTATGAAAAAAATTAAAATCATCTAATATCATGGCTGAATGATACTTTTATTAGAGCCAATTACCGTAAGGTAATACTATGGAGTTCTAATTGGTTAAGTTCACATAGCACATTAAGCTATAAACCTTGGTTCACAAGCCAAACGTCTGGACTAAATTCAGTGCCAAACCAAAATTAAATAAATCGCATATTGTTTTAAAATGATGATGTTGATCTAACTTTGAAGCTTCTGAAAGATCAAAGAGCACCATTATGGAAACACTTCTTTTGCTACATCTAGGAAAGTGATTCACTGATAGGGATCAGGGAAAGTTAATCTAGAAGTACCTGAAGGTAGGCTGTATTTACTGGTATAATTTATTCAGAATAATAGAGCTAGAATTTCTTCTTTTCAGAAAGAAAGACTGTAATTGCGGATAACCATGACAGCCAAAATTATTTCTGCTTACTTTTGGGTTGGGATAAGCAAATCCTGCCATAGCGTGGGAATAACGCTAGGAAGAAGAAGAAGACTTTCTGGTTGGAATAAGAATGAAGAGCAAAGACTAGTCAAAGAACAGCCAGATTCCAGCACCAAAAATTGTGTTGGATTGGACTATCCCAAGAGCAATTCAGAGCAGATTGAGTCATTTATGGGGCTCTGGATTTGATCCTCAAAGAGGATTTTAATTTATTTATTAGATTTGTGTGCCACCCATCTTATTCAGAGTTAACTCTGGGCGCTTAGATGGCCATAGAGAATAAGTCTGAGTTCCAAACAAATAATTTAGCTCTCCCAGTTCTTTTGATTTAACCAAAACATATTTCTTACTCAGCAAAATGCAACTTTTGCAGAACTTTAATTCCATCTCCTTGCTCAATTTGCATTTCTGCCTCAATAGGAGGCACACACACACACACACAGAGAGAGAGAGAGAGAGAGAGAGAGAGAGAGAGAGAGAGAGAGAGAGAGAGAGAGAGAGAGAGAGAGAGAGAGTTACCATGAAGAAAATTGTGATGGTCATCAGTACAGAGACAATGTCCATATGTTTTTTCAGGAAGTATTTGATTTCTTGGAGACAATCCTGCAATGTGGAAAAAATAGGCTTAATATCCACTCACATGAGAATAAGCTCTATTGAAACACATTGGAATTTACAATTCTATTAGCCTTCATTGATAGGTTCAGCTCTATGTTATATTTCCTATTTATATTCTTAGTCACATTTCTTGTTAATTAGGATTCAGGTTATTTTTCCCCCTAAGTTTTATTGCTACTTTGTGGAATGGAAAGAAAGAGGTTTTGTCTGATAGTGAGGTGGTTTGAAGGGAAGCTTTCCACTCCATTTCATGCACTATGATGCTCCTTCTAATTCTGATCTATGCTTGAAATTAATTAAGGTAGAATATAGATTATATTGTAAGCTTTATATTTAGCAGGATGTGTTGCTTGTCTGTTACAAATTGGAAATTATTTTCTTAAGTGGAGTGCCACTTAAAATTAAATTGAAAGATTTGGGAAAGGAAGTTAATAAAAGCAATTGCCAGGCCCAGAGACTTGGCTATCAAATAAAATAAATTAAAAAAATAAATAGGGAGTAGCAGAGATAACAAAGCCTGACCAAAAACAGTTTCATTTATTTTTTGAAAACAAACAAGAAGCCTTTGGAAGGTGCTATCACTGAGGTCTGTAATGTTCATATTATTATATCTGTATTGTTGGCTACACTTGCATTTTAAATTCCACAATTTAGAATACAAGTGATCTTCAGAATAAAAGGTGAAAGATGCTGTGCAGTCATAAGTATTTCTGCCTGACCTCAAATGCCTTCCTATACTAGAAAGGCCTGTAAGGTAATGGAGAATTAATAATGATGTCACTTTATTATATTTTGGACTTTCTGTCCCTGTTCCATGCAAGGAAGCTCACAACAAAATGAAGTCAGGTTGTATAGTTTGCTATGCTGAACACCTTAAAAAGAGGAGGGAGTGCAATGTAATTACTTTTGCAATGGCTAATCATTAACTATGATATCTATCTTATTCTGGCTTACAGGATAATACTATTAGTCTTATTATTAAATGTATTTGCTGCCCGTATCATGGTTGGAGGTGACTCAGAGCGGCTCAGACACAACATAACCTGGAGCTAAGAGTATACATCTTTTTTTTATGAACAAATCAGCATGGTTCATCTTTGGGCTACAATTATCCACAAATAGAAAGCAGATATAACAAGAATGGTAGCACGTCCAGATCCAGCAACAGGAGAAACCAAAAAAAATAAAAATAAATGCAGGCATCTAGTTTCAGTGAGTGAAACTTCTAGCACATTCTTCCCACAAATCTCCTCTCAGAAGAGAAGAACAAATAAACGTTCTTCCAAAAAGCCTTTTCAGTACAATCTCTTTGGCTCAACCACTGAGTTTTATGGAGGATCCAGATGCCCTCGTAATTCATTCGTAATGGCCCTGGGTTTTCTCACTGCTGCATCTTTTTAATTAACTGCCGAAAGAGCAGATCACTTACTTTGGACTGCAGAGTCATTTTGTGTTTTGCAAAGCAAGTCCTTTCTTCTCTCTCGGGGCTTCTCTAAGCTCACAAAACAGGAAGAGATTCTACAGAGTATAATGTCCTTATTCTCTGACTAAATGTGTGTAAGATCTGAAAGTAAGACTGCAAATTACTGGAATTTGATTGAATTTTATTTGTTTTTTAAAATAAAATGTCAGTATGGACACTGGAACAGAGAAAACCCTACTTTTGTTTTAATGAAGACAAAACTGACATACTTTACATTTTGTTCATTTCAGCTGTTGCTTTCCAGTAGGATTAATAAAGCTATGAAGGCTTGTTTGTTTCTTAAATTCCCAGAAGTCTTCTCAAAAGGCAGTGAAACAAGTTCAGCCTCTAGTGATGATAATACGTAATCAACTGGCCTACCATTGTTCCATGAAAGCAATAATTTTAAAATCCTGCACTCTAGGGCTGCAAGATGGTTTTTGCACACCCAAGCCTTATTTATATGCTTCAAAAGTGGCAAGAATGCCATTTTTTCTATAGTGTTGTTCACAGGGCTACTATATTTTGGGGGAACTGTGCTTCACCTTCGAAGAAAGCTCAATGCCGCGATGGGAGTGACAATCTTTACCACTGTATCCTAAGCTCATGAGAGCTGCTCAGAAGACCTGCTTGATAGGCAGAACATGAGATAAAGATTGGGGGATGGGGGGTGGGATTCTGATGTTACTCCCATACTGTAGGGCAGGGGTGTCAAACTGCCGGCCCACGGGTCGGATGCATCATGGCAAAACTACGCCCACCCCATTGCTGGCAATGGAAAAAAAGTTGTGATATCTTGCGACACGTCACGTGATGTTGCGAGTTTGATACCCCTACTGTAGGGAAAGGATCCCTGGGTGCCTGAAGAGAAAGGAATGACCTCACAGCCCAATGTTCTATTACCTCTTCTTCTGTTTCCAGAATTCCTGATGTACACATTTCATCTTCTATGCTACTTCTTTCTCCAAAGGGTGACTTCTTCCCACAACAAAGAAACTAAAATAGAACGTTAATCATATTGTTTTTTTATTTAGACATAGGACGAGATTGGAGTTATCACAAGCTTTTGAGAAGGAATTTGCCCACTTTTGCTTTTGTTTCTTTTTTTATTATTATTATTCTTTTACTCAAAACTCTTTGGTTATTCGGATTTGCTCCTCCTTGAGGTTGGTATGGTCTTGGTCCCAAGTTGGTCACTCACGAGATTATTTATTTATTTAATTTGAATGATTGCTCACTTGTCATATGATTCTGGACATCAAATTAAAAACCTCAAATTCACACAATATTAATAAAAACACATTGAACCCAGGGCAACTCATATATCCACACATGTTAACTTCTCAAATGGACTCCCTTTATTTCTGACTCAGTGCCAAAGGAGAAAACTGATGAAAGGCCATCAAATTAGGCCATCTATACCTGAGATATATGTTGTTCCATACAGTTGGTACTATAATAGAGAAGGCATGTTTTCTGGGTCTCATCAGATGACATTGTTTAATCGAAGAGACCTGCAGCCCCTCACCCACCTTGTCATATCTTGTGGAAGAAGGAAAGTTCTGCAAATAACCTGGCCCTGTGCCATGAAAGGCTTTGAAGGTGAAATCAGTGCAATGGTTGATGTGGAAATGTAAATATCTAAATAGACATCTTAGGCTGATATTTGGCCTTAGCATGTTATGCAAATCTTGTTAGTTGCATGACAGCAGTACATAGAAAGTGTTTACAAAAGCTTTCCCTCATTTCCCCACAAAAAGGCAACAAGCTTTATCTCCACACACACACACTACACACACACAGAGGCCTGGTAAGACTTCTGATATCTCTTTGGCATAGAAACATAGATTAACTCTATTTGGGTCATTATGATTATTTAATGCAACCTTTTAATTTTTAATTTGTTCAGTTCAATAAAACTTCTTTCACTTTTCACTCAAGAGGAGAACAAGATTTATCTTATTTTTAGTTTAGGGCTGCATTTCTTAGCCCTTACAGACTTTAGTAGGACTCTTGAGTAGACAAATGTGAGTTTTCTATGATTGCATTTCCTTAATTAGCTCAGTGCTCTGATAATTGCTTCTAGATTGTTCCCAGATTTCACAGTGATTAAAGGCACCAGAGAAGGGCCATCATAAAACTATATTTTCTGGTTCCTGGCAAGCTTGGAAACAAACTCCATTTATATTTTGTAAGTTCCTTAACTATATAAAAAAAATAGTTGTCACTGTTTTAGCAATGTGTTACCAAAGTTCATAACATAATCTTGGATTTGGAGTTATTTCTCAACACTACAATAACCATATGATTGTAAACATAAAATACAGCTATGAATTTTGACTTCTAAAAAAAGTGAGTTTTGTACAGGAGGGAGGCAAGAAATGTTAAGTATAAGAAGCAGAAATTTCTTATAGCTCTTGTTAGATATTTTAAAAAAAATCTGACAAGAAAATATTTCATTTAGTCATCTTTTGTAGAAAACTTGTATATGACTCTCATTCTCCCACAAATATTTTCTTTATCTTGCGGTATTTTTCATATATTCAGAATAGTGCTATTTTTCATGTTTCATTCATTAACTATCCTCTCATTCAGGGTTACTACACTGAGTTGCAGATGTCATTCAGTTACAGCATGTTACATCTTCCTTCCACTTTGTTTTGTTAGTTAGCCTCTATTGTGGATAGGGTAAACTTTCCCCCCTCATTTAGAAATATGCTGCATATGTAATAGTATGGGAAAAAGTAGGAATTAGTGATTGAAAAATAATTCTTTTCTCAAGGCTCAAAGAGGTGAAAGCAACTCCAAATGAAGCACCAGAGAAGGGCCAACATAAATTTGAATTAATTGCGTAGGAGACAAAATATAGTTATCTCTTCAATTCAGTGGAATTATTGATATTTCTATACTAATTATTGTTCCAGTTGCTAATCTATTTTCCCCACAAAAGTGTTACAAAAAGTGAAATAGAGATTTGCCTGTGCCAGAATCCTTCTTTTGGTGCCAAGAATGGTATTGTATCCTACCAAGCTTCTGGATTATTATTTTCTTTTTAAACATGACACTATATGTTATATTTACTTGAATGGATCCCCCCCCCTTTTCCCATTCTCTGAAATAAAGGGAAATAACTCCAAGGAATTAATGTTTTTAAGTCTCTTCAAGTCTCTTACAGAAAGCAATTCAACTTTCTCCACTTAAATCAGTGGCAGAAATGCACTTATCTTGCATTGGATCATTCCCAAAACATGATTAGTTTCATATTATTCGAATTGTGAAAGAAATTCTGTTGAAATAAAATATTTGATAGGCATTGGATCTGGTTTGTTGAAAATGCCTCAACCAGAAGTCTCCTTCGCTGAACTGCCACTGATAAGTTGCCCATTGGCTATCCCAACTGGCAGTTATGGGATGAAAGAGAAAGAGTAAAAAGTTTGAACTAAGCTGGGGTAAAGCTAACCTATTCCAAAACCATCAGCAACTTACCATCTTGTGAATGGAATATAGATCCTGTCTTCTGGTGCTGGAAATGTTGTTTCTCACATCTTCATAAACAACATCATATACATCGATCATGGCATTTTCCACCTGCAAAGGTGATATTACCATCACAATTTGTAGATGTCAATAATTTGGTAGAAGAAAATCTTTTCTGGCTAGAAAAGATGCTGGGGAAACATGTAGATTTTAAACCTGAACTTTATTTATTAAGACATAATGCCAGAAAAGCTTGATAAACAAAGTATATATTTGATTCTGCATGTGACAACAGCAGCAAGACTAATATTTGCACAATATTGGAAAAATGAAGAAACACCATCGGAGGAAGAAATGATTAAAAAAATACTAGACTGTGCAGAAATGGACAGACTTACTTTGAGAGTGAAAGAAAAAGAAGAAACAGAATATTTTCAAACTTGGGACTTATTTTACCAATGGTTGGAGAACTAGGGATTAGGAATTTCATTTGTATTAGTGAATTATGAATTCAGACAACACGTTTGTTGAATAAGCACTGTTGAGTTGTATTAAAAAAATCAATAAAAACTTAAATAAAATAAATTGGTAGAAGAAAATGTGTTTGGTATGCATTTGCATGTTTTTGTGCATGGGATACACTATACTTAAATCCAAGGGAAGTTCACACAGCTCTACTCTGAGCTTTGCAGCACCTTCCTCTCTTCATCTCCCATAGGTTGCTACCTGCCCCTGCTCCCCTTGAATTTAAGAGCAGCAAATCCAACCCTACCCTTGATCTTTTTAGGTCTGTCTTCCTCTACTTCCTCTTGGCCACCAAATGTTGTTGCTGTTGGCCTTGCCTTTTTTCTATTCTCCCCATTTTGAAATACTTTCCAACTTTCTCCATTAAGAAATACCCATTTCAGACTCAATATAAATTTGAAAGTGCTTGTTCTGTGCTTGAAACAGTTTGTGCACTAGATGTTTTCATGGCCTTACTTGCTTCCCAGTGTAGCTTATTACTCAGTTTCAGGGAACTCATACCTTCTTTGTTTTCCAGACTTAATATGGGATTCAGTGGACAATTACAAAACTAGCACATTCTGACTGCTTAATTTTTTTGAGGGGGTATTATTTATGTTCATCCACACAGTGCTTATTTTCAAGATTATTGTCTTTTTGGCAACTAATAAATATAGCATATGTACATTTTGCTAAAGTAGCCTGGAATACTGGAAGTTTGGAATATTTTATTAGCTTGATGTTAGTTGGGTTGGCTGGTTGGTTGAAAATTATTCAATAAAAAGTGCATTAAAACCAAGGAAAGGTCCAAATAAAGGACTAATCAAAGGGCCATTAAAATAAATGTAACTTTATTGACTTCAGTGAGATTTTAAAATCTTTGTTTTAAAACAAAATGATTTTGCGGAGATGTGCATGACATCACTCCAAAAAAGAGTTTAAAAATACAGGGGAGGCTACTATTTTACTGTAACAAACCAATAGCAACAAGCCAATTCTTTTTCTTGTACAGAACTGAGCAATTAAAATGTATGGATAAAACATTTTGTTAGATTCTATCCCCTAGTTTATCAGTTCATGTGTCTACCCTATCTGCTCTAGTTGGGATGAGCAGATAGCCTTAGGGAGGATCAGTCCCACAGATAATCTGGTTGACATGGTTCCGAAAAGAAGCAGCTTTACAAAGAACTTTGAGGCTTGATTACCTTAAAGAATCCTTTAATTGGCTACATAGTTTCGGCACGAACAATAGAAAGCCAAAAACTGAAACCCCCACCACCCAAGCACTCCTGACAACACACAACTCCCTCCCTCCTTTCACAGTCATCAATCATATGCTCCAATTAATTTGAAGTGTGAATCGCTTCCTCCCTATTTTCTCCTGTTACGCTGACCTTGGCTGTGCTATGCTAAGATATTGTTATGATTAGCTGGCATACTTTCCCACTCACTGGGTTAACATTGTCTGCTTTAACTCTTGAAGTGATATGTAGGCTAAATAAGATATGTTTGCTTCTTCACATATGGCAAGCAAGAACATCCAATGTTAGCAGACTTGACACTGGTCCTGTGCCATGTAGGACTTTAAAGGTGATAAACCTTGAATCATACCTGAAAGAAACTGGGAACCAGTGCAGCTTATGCAATAGGGTGTAATAAAGGGGAACCTAGGAATGTCCAACATAATACATTCTGGACCAGTGTAACTTTGAGTGGCTTCAAAGGCAGCCTCGATCAGAGTGCATTTCAGTATTCCAAATAGCTTCCCAGTCCAGGAAAGAGCATAATTGGGATGAACTAAGGAGTCCTTTGCAGATCTGCCAATTTATATAATTTGGCCTTCCGACAGGGCCTGAAGACTTGGCTCTGCCAATTGTCCTGGGGTCTCAATGGGGGTGCATCATTCTGGACGTGATTAACGGATTAGATGAGACCCTCCCTCCCTCTCAAGTGCATCTTGTTCCTGTCCTTCCCACCTTTGTCAATTTTGAATTAATGTAATGTTATTATTTAATGTTTTTAATGGTTTCTAATGATTGTAAGCTGCCTAGCGTTATTCCAGGCAACATGGGCAGTATACAAGTTGAATAAATAAATAGGTATTTAGCTAATTTACAGTAAACACCTGTTGGTGGACTTTCAGGGTTTTTTGAAAAACAAAATAAATCCTGTTAGCCTAAAATTATTCTGCTGTTTTAGCCGAATATAATTTCAAGACTACTGTCTTCTGAATTATACTTTATGTGACATAAAGGAAGTACTTAATTTCTAAGCTAGTCCAATGAGAAGTACACAAATCAAAGTCTACCTTGATTACAAGGATGGGTTGTGAAAGACACAAAGCTCTCTTTTAACTTCAAATATTAAACAAATAGAATCCTTATTTTCAACTAATTTCCAAGTATTTTAAATTTAATGACCAAAATTCCCGTTATCTCAACTTCTCCCTTTAACCCTCTAATTAGTAATATGAAACTCCCTCTAATAAATCAAAACCCCAATTTTCTTCAGCCTTATTCTGGCTTTCTTCCTTTGCCAACTAGCCTTCCATATCAATGCTTTTAAATCATCAAATAGATCTCGCTCTATTATTATATATATTATTTGAAATAAGAGAAACCATTTAGTTGCCATTTTTGTGGAAGGGCTAGCCTATTTGTATTCATTAGATCGTCTCCCTATTATTCCAATTCCCCATGGTTGTCCTGATATGTTTGCCTTCCATTCAGTCTGTTCTTCTTTCTCCTCAAATTTCTTCTGATTTATATAGAAAGTCTTTTCCATTTTCAGTGGAAAGGATCTTTTCCTGATCTTCATCCATATTCTCTTAATAATGTGTTAAGTTGAGGACTTTAAAATCAGACATTAAAAATAATTTTTATAGCTAGGTAAGGGACGTCTATTTCACGTGTTTATAGGTAGTCTTTATAGTAAAAATCGTTTGTAAAGTAAGATTTTATAGTCCAAGGTATTACATCACCTCATATAATAACCAATGTTCCTCAGATAAAGAAATAGGAAAGCAATTCCCCACATATAACTCTGAAAGTCAGTAGAGGGTTTACATTTATAGTTGAAGCAGGCCAGTTATGCCACCCAGTTATATGACAGTTTCCCCACTTTTCATAGATGATTTATGAGTTAAATGTTCATAATCAATTTAAAATACATTTTTCACTTTAGGCACATTTTTCTGGATCAACACTCAGTAGAATGCCTCTTCATTTTATGAAAACATGCATGGGATTGCTTGGAAAGTGAAATTTTGGTTCCACTAAAGTAAATAATTATTTTTCAGAAAATTTATTTGTCAGAATTTTAAAAGAAAAAAAAATAGTACATAAAATTACTCTCTCACATATACTGTACATATACAATACATGTATTATTTCCTTATTATTTTCTGCAGTTCTATTAAATGTATAGCCAAGTTCTATTAAATGTATAGCCAAAGCTTCATCTATTGTTATCATTACAGAATTATTCCCTTGTTACTGATTTTCATTCCATGGACCAAAAGTGTGGTCCTATATTTTGAATTCAGTGGGGAACCATGATGATATCCCTTCCTTAGCAAAGGAACGCAGATTAAGAACATAGGAAATTAGTTCACATTGAATCAGACCATTCCTTTCTCTAGCACTGCACTATCAGCACTGACTAGCAGTGATACTCCAATCTTTCAGCAGAGGTTTTTATCCAGCTCTAGTTGACAAAGTCAAAGACTGCACCTTGATTCTTCTGCATGAAATGCAAGGCCAGTGTTTTTCAACTTAACATATGTGGATTTCAGCTGCCAGAACTCAGCAACCAGCTTAAAGTTGTTTAGATTGAGAAACATTGTGCTAGAGTAGACCATAGAGGTATATAATCTAGAGCATGGGTAGGCAACCTCAGCTCTTTTATGACTCATGGACTTCAACTCCCAGAATTCTATGCTGGAAGTTCAACTGACTCAGGAATTCTGGGAGTTGAAGTCCATGAGTCATAAAAGAGCCGAGGTTGCCTACCCCGATCTAGAGCTTATTTTATCAGGGCTGATTAAGTTAATATAATGTTTGTAACTTTTGTTTTTGGTCAAGTGGGTTGTTAATTTGTTTTGTTAATAACATTTTTGTTATCACCAGTAAACTCCGTTTGAGAATGAGAGATGGCTACATAATGTAAATGTAATTTTACCACTCTATTCTGTTCTACAATCTACTTTAATCAAGACATTCCAACTTCTGTTGCTCAAGGACCAGTGGTAAACCTTGCACTGTGCATAAAGGAAAGGGCAATATTCCACAAGCTGGTGGAGCTAGCATCTATTTTCTCCTAAACAATTTTTTTTTTTTTAAAAAAATCCGTTTTAAAGCCTTTCTGATTTTGAAAAGTGGATGTAGGGGGAAGCATGGGATGCAATACTTTTTGTATCTCTTATGTAGGTAATGACAAGAGGCACTTTTATATTAAGAATACATATGATTAGATCCTCAACTAAGAGTTCCAAAAGGACACTCCACATTAATGTCTGTGAAAGACGATTATTAGCTAGAATGGCAGATTGTCTGTTTCCTTGGCTTTAAAACAGCAACGCCATGTGTTTTCAAAATACAGCAACACCATGTGTTTTCAGTCTGAACTGTCATTGGAATCCAATTCAATTGTTTCCCAGGGTAAGTGTTCCAGAAGTCTTATAAGAAATGAGCAATGGCAGACAATTCTCCAAAGCACATTATATTAAGGCAGATGTCTCCAACATGGTGCCAGTCAGATCCAGCAAACTAAAATCCTATTCTGGGGGCCTTTTGACAAAATAAACTGGGTGGGTTTATGCTCTCTAATTATAATACTGCAGGCCAAGGCAGCTCACAAAATATTCTTTTATCATCCTTACTATGCTGATGCGTGAAAAGAACAACCTCTGAAGAATCTCGTGCCACATGGCTCACTTCCCCAAGCAAAGTAATCTAAACTAACTGCAGGCTCTCCCATATATATCCCTATTACACCCATAATTCCTAGTTTGGGTAGTAGGGAAAGCTATGTTTCTTTGCCAGGCATGGCTGGCTGGAGAATTCTGGGAGTTGAAGACCACACAACTTCAAGTGGCCAAAGTTGAGAAACACTGGTCCAGACGATTGGATGCTGGAGTGAAAGGTCCTAACAGATATTCTTTCGTTTGCAGCTATAGCGAGGCTTTCCTCAAGAATTGTTCAATTTGGATGCAGCTATCCCTTTAATAACTTTTTCAGTTGTTAAGTGGTTAGCTCAGTTTGTTTACTGGATCATTTAAGAATCTGCATATGGGGACAGCACAGCAAATCATTTTGTCAAGACCATCCTTCAGAGGTGATTCTAATCATCGTGTGAAGCCTTGATGATTCAGTTCATGGTTTGCATTGCTCTGATGACTTTTTATGGCATGTTCAATAACGGGAAACAGATTTCTGAGCATGCTTTTAACCATCTTTCATTTCCAGTAGCTCACTGTAATAACTATAAACCCTTGGAAAAAGCAATACTGCAGCCTCGCTTACTTTTTAAAAGTTGGGGTGGGGAGAGCATATTGCATTGGAAACAGCTTTGAAAGAGTGCTTAACTCAAAGCATCACCAAAATGAAATCCCTCTTCAGAACTTTGCATAGTGCTATAAAGACAGGAGAGTCTTCCTATGCCACTGGAACATTCCAAGGACTTTTTATGTGTGTGTGGCTTTGTATCCCTAGTTATTTGATTCCATACCCTGGTCTGAGCAGTTCTTGGTGCTCTCTAAGCTTGGTTGTTTTCTTGCAGATGTTTCATTACCCAAACTAAGTAACATCATCAGTGTTGGTAAGGAGTGGGGTTTGCTCTGAGTTTATATTCCAGTGGTTTTCCCTATTAAGTGTTGGTGGGGATGGTCTTAGAGATTCTTTGATGGGAGATTTACTGTTGGCTTGTCCTTGATTGGGGTATTGTTTACTTGATTGTTAGACTGATGTTAATCTTGGAGTTAATGATGATGACAATGATGTTACCTAGTTTGAGTAATGAAACATCTGCAAGAAAACAACGGAGCTCTGAGAGCACCAAAGACCCCTCATTTCAACTCTGAGCTACAAATATATTCATTTTTGTTAAACTTGGTGATTGTTGGCTTTTCTCATCCCAACAAATTCCGTATTTTGGAACTTAAACGGAAACATCATAGATAGATGACATTTGGGTCCATCCTGGAAGCAGAATGTTGGTAAGACCACCTACCTAAGCCCTGGATAGATTTTAAATTATGAAATTTACCTTCTTTGTTAATACTGATTCTGAATCACAGTCTTTTTAAGATTTTGATAATCTGGGAGGTAGAATGTTCATCTGAACACATTCCCACTTTCTTCTTATTACTTAATGAAGCAATTCTTGGGATTATATTTTGAAGTAATATTTTAATATATTACTGGGAATATAAAACTGAGTGTCAAGGACTGCATAACTCTATGTATTTGTTGGTAAACAATATATTACCAACTTGGAAGGAACTGTGTGTTTAAACAGATATTGTATGCATTTAAACACATCCAAACTCCCAGTTTATGATATGCCAAAACAAATTGTACCCAGGGGTGGTCAATAGCTTCTGCATGTTTCCAATGCTGTTGCTTGTCAGAGGATGGGTCAGTGAGCTACCTGCTTAGGTTAAAATGCACTTCCAAGCCTAATCTAAACTCCCATTGAACTCAGTAACCCAACTCACACAAGATGGTTATTTATGTATGAATATGCTTAGGAATCTGTAAAGGAGGATAGGTGAAGAAAAGACAGATGCAACTGTCTTTTACACAGTCGATATTTTGTGCAAAGGACTGACAGAGAAGCCTAGATAAAAGAATATGTGGGTTTGAACCACTCCCACAAATACCACAGTACATTATCAGGGGTAATATAGAAGTAGTCCTCGATTTACAACAGTTCATTTAATGACCCTTCAAAGTTACAATGGCGTTGAAAAACAGGGACTTATGACCATTTTTCACACTTATGACCGCTGCAGCATCCCCATGGTCACATGATCAACATTCAGACGTTTGGCAATTGGTTCATATTTATGATGGTTGCAGGATCCCAGGGTCATGTGATCACCTTTTGCGACCTTCTGACAAATGAAGTATCAACAGCCAGCTCAAGAATCCAAATAAAACTCCAGTTTCATTCTGCTTCCGAAAAGTTTACTGTTTATTGGATACACTGCTTGGTTATGTCGAAATAAAACTAACTCTGAGGTTCCAACATTAGTTCATAGACTTAAACAATAATTTTCCCAGCTAAACCCCCAACATCTTATGTAATCTATATCAACAAATTCACTTTGTTATGGGAACCGTCTGCTTCAATTCCATACCTGTTCCAGTGTCCTTGAGAAGGCTTCAGGCTCCCACAGTCTTCAGCTGACTTGAAGTTTCATTTCTCCTTCTTACCCACTTGAAAGTAACACCTCCCCCTCCCTTAATCTAAAGGCAAGTTGAAACACAGAGGCACGTAGCTGCCAAAGTTTTATTCTTGACAAGTCAATGAGGGAGCTTGATTCACTTAATAACTGCGTTACTAACTTAACAACTGCAGTGATTCACTTAGCAAATGTGCCAAGAAAAGTCAGAAAATTGGGCAAAATTACTTTAAAATGTCTCACTTAGCAACAAAAATTTGGGGCTCAATCATGGTCATAAGTCAAGGACTACTTGTACTTTGTCTCCTTTCTGACTTTGCTCCAAATCTTTCCAATTCTAGAACTTTTTCCATGTAGAAACACTTCCTCAAAAGTATGGTTTTTCACTCCCTAAATCTTAGAAATCTTAGAAACATTTTTGAGCTATTCTGAGAATATCCTTATTACTCTTGGTCTCACAATTCAGAGAACCTCCTTCCAAGTCAGGAGCAGCATGAAAACTGGAGGAGAATTGTGGTATAACTGTCCTCTCTCTTCATTCCTATGATTTATATTCTGCCTTTCCACATAACAATCCTACTGAAGCCATGCACAATCCAGAAAATTAGCTTTACAATTATCCTATAAGCTCCAGTGAGATATTCCTATGGGATAATACCATGCAACAGATTTCAGAAGCAAATTGTATTTGAGAATTATCAAGTTTGCAGATTCTGCTTTGGAGACTTGGAAACAAACAAAAAGTGCTTGAAGACACTTGAGAAGTTTGAAAGGTTTTATGGCTCTAAGTTTACATGAATGAGAATGTTGTACTTAGTATACAGTATCTGAAAGTGCAGAACTATTTTGGCAGTTTATTTAACTATTTGCCTTTTCAGATTGTTCACTTACCACAATACTGTTGGTAACAGTCCAATATGTGGCCACTCCTGAAGCACAGAAAACCGCAGCAAAACAGAAAAAACACTACAATAAAAAAGACATCAAAATAATACCTTAGTAGGCGCTGTCATTGCTACTTCAAGTACTGTATATTTTTAGTTTATATATATATTTAACATACAAACTTGAAGAAATAGGAAGGTTGTTCTTCACAGCCATAACAGAACAAAAATCTACTTACTGATAAAAGACAGTATTTCTTCTATTTCCTTCAATTAATTTCAGACCTAGCGTACTTAACTGATTTAAATTGAAAGACACTGAGATGTAATTTTTCCTCTAAAAGCAAATGGATTTTTCTACCTGCCTGTGAGTGAGTGGGTGTATATACTTGCTCTCTCCTATTAATATCAATATATAGTTCAGTGATGGCGAACCTTTTAGAGGCCGAGTGCCCAAACTGCAACCCAAAACCCACTTATGCATTGTCGGGTGCTGGGTGGGTGTGGCCAATTGGGTGGGCATGGCCTATTGGGTGGACATGGCTGCGATGATAACAGCAGACTGGGTGGGACTAAAAAGTTCAATCAATCAATTCCAACTTTGCAAGATCTTTTTTTTCCCGCAAAAAGTTAAAATTGACTGATTGATTGAACCTTTCTTTTTTTTGCACACGGCAGCGGAGGCCTAAAGTGAAAAGGTTTTATAAACCGCAGATGAAGGCCTAGGACTGGGGTGACGGTGCACGTGCCCACACAGAGCGCTCTGAGTGCCGCCTCTGGCACCCGTGCCATAGGTTCGCCACCACTGATATAGTTGATATAAATTCCAACATATATGAAACAACTGTTTGTTTGTTTGTTTTGGCATGAGATTTCCCTTGTTCTTTTGTTAGGTTGTGTTGAAAGAGAGTGATTAGCTCAGTCACCCAGGAAACCTCCAGGGCTAGAGAGGAACTTGAATCTGGATCTTCCTTGGTGTCAGTCTAACAGTTAAAACTTTACACTGGCCTTCAGTTTTTTTCTTTTCTCTATTTTTTTGTACATTAAAGCAAATAGAAATCTGGTAACATAAAAGGAATGCAAGCAACATATTATTAGAAGGACATACATCATTTTTTAAATATGTTTTTTTCTTAGATGTTCATGTATTTGAACAAAAATGGCAAAAGTAACAGTAAAAGTGATACTGAGAGCAAGTTTTAATCAGCTAATGCTTTCAGTGAAATAAAGTGCAGCGGTTATAGCTTTCGGCCCTACAAAAAATTTCCAACCATATTTTTCCTAGGTCAGGGGTAGGCAACCTTGGCTCTTTTATGACTCGTGGACTTCAACTCCCAGAATTCCTGAAATTCTGGGAGTTGAAGTCCACGAGTCATAAAAGAGCCAAGGTTGCCTACCCCTGTCCTAGGTGCTTTCCTATATTTCTTCCTCAGAACAATCTTCATTTTTTTTATTTCAGTGTTTTTGTGCAATATTCCATTTCAGCAGGTTAGTCATGATTTTCTGAATAAAAGAAAGCAGTCACTTTAGTTTCTCAAGATGCACTTGGTCTCTTATAATAGATTGGCAAAATAAAAGTAAATAAAATTGTGGAAACAATTGAAAGAAAAGCAGGGCAGTTTATTGAATAAATATGAAATTATTATCTCTATGTAGGAAACCCAACAGAGCGACATCCGGCTGATTGCCAAGCTCTTAAAACTCCTTTTCAGAACGAGAGGCTTGGCCAGCTTGCTCAGACCAGATTTTGTTTATACAACCAAGTCCATGCATGCAAAAAAGGACGTGCTTTTTTTTTAAATGTCTGATTTACGTATCCATGACAACCAGCTGACATCATGAATTGTGAGATCACAGAGATGAAGCAACCGACTATTCAACTGAATTACCGTGCATTACATTGCCAAAATCCAATTCAAAATCCCCTTTTTCAGCGATATCCTTGTTAAACCAGCACAAGCATTAAAAAAAATGGAAACATTTGCAATCTCTAGTTAGAATAGAACAGAACAGAATAGAAGCTGGAAGGGACCTTGGAGTCCAGCCCCCTGCTCAAGCAGGAGAACCTATCCTATACCATCTCAGACAAGTGACTGTCTAGTTTCTTCTTAAAAGTGATAGAGTGCCCACGATTTCTGAAAGCAAGCTGTTCCACTGGTTAATTGTCCTCACTGATAGGAACTTTCTTCTTAATTCCAGGTTGCTTCTCTTTTTGGTCAGTTTCCAACAAATGTTTCTTGTCTCGCCCTCTGGCCCTTTGGAGAATAGTTTGACACCCTCTTCTTTGTGGCAGCCCCTCAAATACTGGAATACTGCTATCATGTCGCCCCTGTTTCTTCTTTTCTTTAGACTAGCCAAACCCAAGTCCTGCAGCCATTCTTCATATGTTTTAGTCTCCATGCCTTTTTCTAAGGTCACAACATCTTTTTTGGTAGTATGGTGAAGTCGTGGAAAAACCCAATGAAAAAGACAAGAGACCGCAACACAGAACAATAATTCTTACTTTAAGATTCAGAGGTTTATTTTGCTAATAATTTGGAACATAGCAAACATGATAACGTAACATCACTTACATTAAAAACTCATTGCAACGAGGTCCAATGACATAGCAGTTCCAATAAGGACAGCTTTAAGCCAATGGCAAATCAATCAGGTCCAGTCCCAACTTTTTATACCCTTTCCCATGCTAAGACTGTAGACCAGGGGTAGGCAACCTCGGCTCTTTTATGACTCATGGACTTCAGAGTCGAAGTTGCCTATCCCTGCTGTAGACAGATGGTCAGCAATCTTATACTTTCTACTGACCCTTTGCTGACTTCCTGCTGACCCTCTGCTGACCTTTTCTGACTTCCTGCTGACCCTCTGCTGAACATAACTTACTAAACACTCGTGTACATTGGAACCCACATCTATCACCTACTTTCAGTTCCCTATTTCTTACTGTTCCAGTCCTTATGTTCTAAATATATTTGAAACAAGGAAGTTTAGCAAAACCATATTAAAGTACAATTGCAAACTGCAAATTAAGCATTGCACAGACTTTAGTTCAATACTTTTTCCATGAGGCTTGATTTAGTTCACCTGGGCCTAAACCTTGCATAAAAGAACAATAGCCAATATTTTCGTTTTCCACAGTGACCAAAATTGGTTGCAATATTCCCGGTGTGGTTTTACTAGGCTTTTATAAAGTGGTACCAATACTTTGTGTGATCTTGATTTTATGCCTCTGTTTATACAACCCAGGATTGTATTAGCTTTTTTGGCTGCTGCTGCACACTGCTGGCTCAGAGTCAAGTGACTATGAGCCATAGTCAAGTCCCTCTCACAGTTGCTGTTTCTGAGCCAGGTCTCACCTAATCTGTACTTATACCTTTGATTTTTCCTGCCTGAATGTAAAACTTTGCTTTTCTCCACATTAAAACTCATTTTGTTGAATAGGCCCCATTGTTCAAGTTTGTCAAGATCTTTTTGGATCCTGAGCTTGTCTTCTGGGGTGTTGGCTATTTCTGCCAGTTTAGAGTCATCTGCAAATCTGATGAGTTCCCGTTCTATTCCCTCATCTAAATCATTAATGAAGAATATTGAAGAGTACTGGGCCTAAGATGGAGCCTTGTGATACCCCACTCCTTACTTCTCTCCATGTGGATGCAGTACCATTGAGGATTACTCGCTGAGTATGGTTTGTCAACTAGCTACAGATCCATCTGATGGTGGTGTTGTCTGTCCCACCTTTTTCTAGCTTACTAAGCAGCAGGTTGTGGTCTCCTTTGTCAAATGCCTTACTTAAGTCTAAGTATACTATGTCCACAGCGTTTTGCTGGTCTACTAATTTAGTCACTTTATCAAAGAATGAAATACGATTGGTTTGGCATGATCTGTTTTTGACAAACCCGTGCTTTGACAAACCCGTGCTTTGACAAACCCGTGCCAGTAGGTTATAACTTTGTTTGCTTCTAGTTGTTCACAGATCTGTTTTTTTGATTATCTTTTCTAGGATCTTCCCAGGTATTGATGTTAGACTGATTGGTTTGTAGTTTTCTGGGTCTGTTTTTTCCCCCTTTCTTGAAGATGGGAACCACATCAGCCCTTTTCCAATCCTCAGGTACTTCCCAGGTGCTCCAGGATTTTTGAAAGGTATGGTGCAATGGTTCTGAGATAACATCTGCCAGCTCCTTCAGAACTCTGGGATGTAATCTGTCAGGTCCCGGTGATTTATATTCATCAAGATTAGATAGGTGTTCTTTTACCTTTTTCTTGCTTATTTTAATTTTTGTTTCTAGTTTGTCTTTTGCAGTAGTTTTTTTTGGTATGTTGGGCTATAATTTCTTTTTGTGTGAAGACTGATGCAAAGAATGAGTTAAGCAGCTCTGCTTTCTCCCTACTGCCTGTTACTTCCTTGCCATTTTTTCTCTTTAGTGGACCTAGTTTCCTTGACCTTTTTCTTGTTATTAATATGTTGAAAGAAACTTTTTTTATTGTCCTTCATTTCTGTTGCAAGTCTTCGTTCATTCTGAGCCTTTGCTTTCCTGACTTCATCTTTGCATGTTCCTACTGTCTCTTATTTAAGCTATAAAATCAGATGGCGATTTGGAAATCTGACTTGGAGGGGGTTTTTGAATGAATACTTATTACAGCCTTGAGCTAATCTACCTGTCTGGTATATTCATCCTGGGTGGATATATTGCAGGTACCCCCCTTTAAGAGATTTGGGGCTGTGTGAGAAATGAGTCTTTTTTCCCCCTGATAACCTTTGGACAACCCCCCCACCAAAAATCCAGAAAACACATTTTCTCCTGAACTTCAGGAAGGCTTTGAAAATAGGAATGCATCATAGAGGTGTTGATTTCTGGTCATCGGATGCCCATTTACATTAATTTTATTACTGATGTGTAACTCTATGGGGTTTGATTAGTTATTGAGGATCCAATCTGGGCCAGTCACCAGGACCAGAGATTTGGTCCTCCGAACTTCCAGACTCATGCTGGAGCCCATCTTCAGGGAACTCCTCCCTCACCAGAATGTGGTGAGAGAGAAATTCCCTGAGGGTGGGCTCCATCATGAGCCTGAAAGCTCGGAGGACCAAACCTCTGATCCTGCTGAAGAGGGGGTCAAACTATTCTCCAAAGCACCAGAGGGCAGGACAAGAAACAATGGCTGGAAACTGACCAAAGAGAGAAGCAACCTGGAATTAAGGAGAAAGTTCCTATCAGTGAGGACAATTAACCAGTGGAACAGCTTGCCTTCAGAAATCGTGGGTGCTTCATCCCAGGAGGTTTTTAAGAAGAGACTAGACCAGGGGTAGGCAACCTTGGCTCTTTTATGACTCGTGGACTTCAACTCCCAGAATTCCTGAGCCAGACATGCTGGCTCAGGAATTCTGAGAGTTGAAGTCCACGAGTCATAAAAGAGCCAAGGTTGCCTACCCCTGGACTAGACAGTCACTTGTCTGAGATGGTATAGGAGAGGTTCTCCTGCTTGAGCAGGGGGCTGGACTAGAAGACCTCCAAGGTCCCTTCTATTCTATTCTATTCTATTCTATTCTATTCTATTCTATTCTATTCTATTCTATTCTATTCTATTCTATTGGTTGATTAATTATGTTGACTTATTTCAATTGTTGTGGTTTGTTTTGATTTTTATTGTGGATTGCCCTGAGCCTTTTGGAAGTACATTGACATAAAGTTAGCAAGTAAATACATCAATCCATCAGCACTGGAGGTGCTTTGTTAATCTTAAATGTACACAACGCAACCCTTAAACCACCCTGATGCATGTCTAACTCATTAGAGTTCATGAGCTGTGTCCTCCCACTTCCCAACTCTGCCAGTATTTTGTTTGGAAGGATGTTCTGTGTCATTGCACAAAAGCGTTTTATCACTTCCATTTATTTATTAAACACCTTTATATAGCCACTCACTCACTTTTCTCGCACTCGCTTTCAATTTGACTGAGCCAAATTGAGTCGTTTTCGAAACTCGGAAATGAGTTTCCAAACTAAATACTATGGTTTATGCTGATCACTACTCTGGGCCTTCTCATATATTGACATAAAACTGTTGCTGTTGCTAGGATAGCTATCAGTTCCAAGTATATGCACATTAATTTCACCTGAATCATATAAAGTATGAAATTCAGTATGTGCATATTTTTCAGGTGATTATTTTTTCTTTGCAACATAAAGCAAACACTTTCAGTTAAACCAAGATGTTTACCTTTTCTTTTGCAAGAAGCTTTTACTAGTCATAATTACCAGTCCTCACGCTGGTTACAAAATCCACTAATTAATCCCTTGACAGGAAAAATAAGTCCCAAGTTTGATTCTACCCATAACTGCAGCTCATTAGGATAGTATGTTGTTGTTTACTTTTTCATAATAACTGGAATATATGTAACATTGTTCCACATACAAAATTCACTTTCTTGAAATAAATTAGCCCACAGATTCCTGTGTAGAGCTGCCGTATAAAAAGTGACACTAAGACAAGTTGTCATTTCCTACTTTGTGAGGCTAACATGTACATTTATTTGCAACTCAGTCTTTATTACATGAGCTTTAATGTTTCTTTCTGAATTACGTAGGTGGCCATTTTTCAAAAACAGATACACAACAACTATAATATAGAGTCCAATATCTAAGATGGCTTGCAGAAAAATAAATACCAATGCACAATAAGAATGCTTCAACCCAAACAGAATTTGTTGCTGTTGCTGCGGAAGGATTTAATATTGTTATAAAGTAAAGAATCATAAAATTGGAAAAGGCCATTTTGGTCATCAAGCCAAACCATCTGCTCAATGCAGGAATCCACATTAAAGCATTTCCTAATAATTATTGTTTAGCTGTCACTTGAATGTGTGATAGAAATTCAATCAGTTTCCCCTGAAATGGAAAAATCAGGCTCTACAGTTCTTAAGAGTAGGCAGACTGTAACAGAGAGGGCACAGGAGTTACAATCCAAAAGAGGCATTAGAAGCAAAACATGGGAGAAATCTTCTATTTTTTTTTAAAAAAATTAGAAATTATTATTATTTAAAGGGCAAATTGAACACATTGCAAATCCATGTAATTCAATCACTTCCCAAATGATTAGAACTGACAGCTTTCACAGAACAGCTGTTATTCTGCCACAGATTCCCTCCCATAGACCGGTACGCTCCCACAGAGCGGGCCTCCTCAGGGTGCCGTCGGCCAAGCAATGTAGGCTGGCGACCCCCAGGGGGAGGGCCTTCTCTGTGGGTGCCCCCACCCTCTGGAATGAACTACCCCCCGAGATCCGGATGATTCCGGATCTCCTTACTTTCCGCCGCGCCCTCAAGNGCCCTGAGTCCTATGGGAGAAGGGCGGTATACAAATTAAAATAATAATAATAATAATAATAATGTCCTTTCAAATCCAAGACAATCTTCCCCCGTCTGGTAGCCTCCTGATAAGTTCCCAGCAGGCTAGGAACTAGGCTTGTGCAGAATAGTTTAATAGTACTAATAGTCTTAAGCAGTGCTAATTAGCTAGTTACTGGCCAGAGGCCACCCATAAATCCAAGATCATAATAGTGAATTCTGATTCTTTGACTTGCGTAACAAAGCAAGGGAGTATCTTGTTTGCGTATGCTAAACATATTCACAATAGATACATTTTAGAATGAAGCTGTAAGGAGGAGCTGGAGGTGTTTGACTAAATCAGGGGTCCTCAACCTTGGCAACTTTAAGACTTGTGGACTTCAACTCCCAGAATTCCTCAGCCAGCTTTGCTGTTAAACCCTCAGGATTCCAATATGAATTGCGAGAGGAAGTTTGCCAATGTGTTTCCTCTAGATTTAGGAAATGGTTAACTCCTAACAACCCGAGCATGAATGTGTCAGTACCTCCTGCTTGGTGCAATGCAGGCAAGCATATATCAGCTTGCAAAATCAGAGATCCTAACTCGTACAGAATAAAGTAATCATGCTTGGGATTACATTTGGGCTTTCATTGTGCTTATGGCATCCTGAACAAAATGTGCCAAGCTGGATGTGACTTGGACTAGTACCGTGGTGGCGAACCTATGGCACGCGTGTCACAGGTGGCACGCAGAGCCCTCTCTATGGGCACGCGCGCCATTACCCCAGTCCTAGGCCTTCAGCTGGGTTTTATAAAACCTTTTTGCTTTAGGCCTCCGCCGCTGTGTGCAAAAAAAAAAAAGGTTCAATCAATCAATTTCAACTTCTCGCGTGGAAAAAAAAGATCTCGCAAAGTTGGAATTGATTGATCAAACTTTTTATTCCCACCCAGTCTGCCGTGACCACCGGAGCCACGCCCACCCAATGGGCCACGCCCATCCAATAGGCCATGCCCACCCAGCACCTGACGATACATAAGTGGGTTTGGGGTTACAGTTTGGGCACTCGGACTCTAAAAGGTTCGCCATCACTGGACTAGTAATTAATTCTCTCTCTCTCTCTCTCTCTCTCTCTCTCTCTCTCTCTCTCTCCCTCCCTCCCTCCCTCCCTCTCCCACACACACAACTCTCAAAATAAAACAAAAATAAATAATCAACAGCAGCATGGATTCCTTCTTCATTACATACCTCTCTATATATGAGCAAATCCAATGCAGTATATGGGGAAAAAATTCCTCCCTCAATATGATCATCTACTCAAAAAGATTAGTTCACCCTGTGATTTGGTGTGGCCCAGAGCCATATATCAATGTCATGGCAAGTCTAGACAATATGCCAAGTAACAACAGAGAATGAGATGTTTGGGAGGACAAAGATACTGAAAATTCTTGGGGTGTACTAAACCTTCTCGGGCCTGTTGCACAAGCTTGTGTGAATTATTCATACAGCATTGAAATGATAGGGCAGAGATTCAAATTTATGTGCTTTCCAAAAAGGGCATCCATGTGCCAGTACCATGGCCTAACTGATCTTGAAAGTAAAGCTGGTATCAGGTTAGCATTGTGTGAGAAAGTATAACAAGCATTTCCCGTGTTATCTAACGTCACTGATAACACATCTATCAGACACATTGCTTGTGATAATGCTATACTTATAAAGGGCATGGTTAGTTTAGAGTATAATGAAAAATAATAATAATAATATGTATGTGGACCAGATTAGAGAAACTGAAGAACTTGCTTCAGAAAATTCAGGCAAATTTTTAAAACAATTCTAAAACAGAATTGGAGACTATTCATTTAACCTGAAGAACCATCTTTACATTCAGCCAAGTCTCAGAAATATAATTTATCATCTCAAGTTTATCACATACTGGAAAGCATTATTGTAAGCAAAGCATAAGCTAATAGCAAGGAAGCCATTTTTTTAATACCCAGTATGTAAATTTCTAATAACATATGATGTTGGATAAGATTTTGATTTAGGTAATTTACATTTGGAACACTGAGAGAAAAAACCCTTCCCACTTTAATTCCATTATGTCTTTCGGTTACATGACATTGATTTTAACATATATTTTCATGTGTATTATTTTCTATGCAATATAGATTGTACAAGATATCAAACACAGGCACTTTCCAACATATCATGATATCTATAATAATTTCCAAACAGTATCCCAAGATGGAGTCACTTGGGATCTTCCTTGAAAGTCATTCCCACTTTAAATACAGGTATATTTCAAAACAAGTTTGTAGAAAAATCTAACTGATATTTATATTATTCAACAACAGAGCCTACTTACAGCTGCCATAGCACCTTCCAGTTCTTTGATTGTGGCAGCAATGCTCATCAGAGCAGCCATAGCCAGAATGATGCTCAGACACATCCCGACGTAGGAAACTGGAATGAAGGTAATACAGAAAAAGATATACAAAACTCTGAATATTAAGGTCCCTTCTGATAACTATCCTGCAGCATCAGAGTAAGTAAAGTAAAATTATATGGACATGTCCATGTTTTTCTTGGCAAGAATATTGTTAGAATCCTCTGACTGGGACTTAGTAACAGATCACCGATCTCTTGACATTTAATGGCTTAGCTCAGTGATGGCGAACCTTTTAGAGACCGAGTGCCCAAACCGTAACCCAAAAACCACTTATTTATTGCAAAGTGCCAGGGCCGCATCAGCATTGTGGTGTCCTCATGGGGGGACAGAGAGGCGCCTCTGAGTGCCGCCTCTGGCATGCAAAAACCGGGGGGTGCAAAAATGGGCCACCGTGCTGCAAGGTGCAAAAATGGCTGTGCCGTGGGGTGCAGATACAAGGCGCTGCACCATGCAAGAATGGGGCAGGGCTAGTGAGTATCACGCAGGCACTAGCCCCACCCCATTTGCAGCACGTGTGTGTTCGCGGCCCCATGCACGCATGCATGCATGTAAAATGCTTCCCCTACCTTTTCTTCCAGTCTACCAATCAACAATGGTTGGTGACCTCTGCTCTACCACCTCTACTTGAGCTTGCTAGTCGGCCGCTTCACCTCCTTTGTGCTGGGCGGGGCTCCTGCTCCGGGTGGCAGTGGTGGTCTGAGGCAACTGCTGCTGGTGGCGGTGGCGCGTGTGCCAACAGAGAGGGCTCTGAGTGCCGCCTCTGGCACGCGTGCCATAGGTTCGCCACCACTGGCTTAGCTTGTCTCCTTACTGGACTTGATAAAAGACTCCTAGATATGGATTGGCTAGATTAGGATCTTTATGAAGCCATATCCAACAGGTGATTGGCTGTCGCTAGTGAGAGGGTGTAAGTGACTTTCATAATCTTGGGGATGATTATTCTTTTATTCTTCTTTCTTTCTGAGTTAATGGATTTGTAAGTGGCATTTAGTAGCCTTGACACTGAGTGATTACATTATGTCTTTGTAGCAGTTACTGGTATATCTCTGATCTGGGAATTGCTGGTTCCTATTTCAAGTGTGAAGAAATATGACAGATTTGCCATTGTCTTTTTCTTTTGCTTTCCAGCTTAATCTATAGACCTAGAACTTCCTGATACCAGTGTCTCCCATTCTAGGGATAAGCAAATCTGACCTAACTGTGTTTTTGAGATCAACCAAGTTCAGCCAGATATTCATATTTGTTTAAATACCTTTGTACTGACCAAAGCTAATTTGCAGCTAGCAACCTTTGTATCTTTTTTCACACATTAATTCCCAAGGTAAGTTCTACTGAGTTGAATTCTACTAGTAATTAAAGGAATATATGGCTATATCTTGCTTTTCTTTCCAAGCTGGGACACTCAGTGGCTCTCATAATAAAGTTCCAGTATGTGAGGGGGCAACAAGGCTACCGATGAAAATGTTTTAGATTAATTTTCTGGTGGTGGAAAATTGGTATTATGCTATTTATTCTTTAACAGGGGAGAACCCTGAACACCAAACATTCATCAAGATACATGGAACTCTTGATCTTCATTTTGGAAAGTAGAATTCTCCCTCTGCAGGTGGCCTATTGAGTTCCCAGGTCTACATTCCATTTTGTTTTATTTTCTGATGCTTAGTGCCCTTATTACTATAATTAGGAGGCTGGACTGGATGGGGAAAAGGGCCCTCCTGACTCAGTATGATTCTATAGACCAATGATGGTGATGTTATCCATTCAGTCGTTTCTGACTCTTGGCGATTCTATGGGCCAGGTTTCTCTACGTCTTCCAATCTTGCACTACTTCTTTGAGTTGTTCTATGTTCTGGCTAAATCATTACAATTTGCAGTTAACCTTTTAATCATCTAACTTCCATTTTGAAATTCAGTTACATACAAGTATTCCACTTGGAAAATTATCTCTCCTTAGAACTGTCATTTATTTTAAGAATTCTCATCACCACATGTATTTACTGCATTCATACCCTGCTTTTCCTCTTGAGGCAGTATTTGAAAAGGTCACCTTAATTTTATCCCCTACAACAAGGGTCTTCAAACTTGGCCCTTTTATGACTTGTGGACTTCAACTCCCAGAATTCCTCAGCCAGGCACTCTGGCTGGGGAATTCTGGGAGTTGAAGTCCATAAGTCATAAAAGGGCAAAGTTTGAAGACCCCTGCCCTACAACAACCTCAAGTTTGGATTGAGAGAGTATAGTGAGCCCAGAGGACGTCAGTCAGTTAAATTTATCCCCAGGGATATCATTTGTTCATTAATCAAGAAATTTATTAGCTGATCAATATATGATTAAACCAACTGAAACCAAAACTTAATAAAAAGTTGAAATTATATATATATTCCATATAAGGAACGTAAAACATAGAAATTTATATCATGATCAATCTTTAAAATAAACAAATACCAAATAGAACAAATTCTTATCTCATCAGCGAAACAAATCATTTTTAATTTTGCACTCCAGTATGAGAGACTGAATCTTGAATTTCCCAACACTTACCAATAGTGTGGAAATTTCTGTAATAGGAGTTTGTCCCCGAAGAGGCAGAATTTATGACAGTGAAGTGTTTCCCACTGAGCGTGATACTGGCCAGTATGCCAACTGATACCCCAAGCAGCTAAGAAGAGAAAAGAAGCATGTTTACAAAATTGGATAAGGGCTAGAACAACCCAAGCTCAAGTCAATATTCAGCCATGCAAACACTTTACCATAACATATTTAATTAAGTCGTTAAAAACATGGATAGAACTGGTTGGATTTTATTAGTTATATAGTCTGGCAGGAAGAAGGAAGTTAGATTAAGTTGGGGTCAGTATATCAAAGGTACAGAACTCCAGATAACCACTATAGAGCAGCAAAGAGATGCAGAAAGTTCTTTGCTGCCATCTAGTGGTCATTTTCATGTTTGTAGTACTGATCTGTACAGTACTCAGAATCCTAGAGAATTTTAGCAAATCTTCCCCTAGATCCGGGGTAGGCAACCTTGGCTCTTTTATGACTCGTGGACTTCAACTCCCAGAATTCCTGAGCCAGCCATTCTGAGAAGAAATGGAGAAGTTTCCATACTGAGCCATTCTGGCTCAGGAATTCTGGGAGTTGAAGTCCACGAGTAATAAAAGAGCCAAGGTTGCTTACCCCTGCCCTAGATTGATGCCAGTCAACAAAACAGTAAATATAAAGAGTGCCACTTTGGCATTGGCTCATTAATTATTAAGCAACATACAGCCTCCTTACTTATAGCTAATTCAGAATATGAGTTTGGCTACTTGCCTCTTTCTTACAATGGAACTCAACAAAAAAAGAGATCTTCGCTGTGGATTCACAAGTATTTCCCTACTCCCACTTTCCATTTGAAGGATAATAAGGATAAGCAAAGTTTATCCCTGTCCCTAACAAAGCAGTAGAACAAGATGGGGAAAAATCAACACACAATTCGGAAAGGTAAGACGGGTCCTTTGCCCCAGCTCAATAAACTACAGGTAGTCTTCAGTTAACAATGGCAATTGGGTTCAGATCTGCCATTGCTAACCAACATGGTCATAAAGCACAGCCTCACACTTAGCATTCTGGCATTCTTGATTGCAGTGGTTAAGCAAATCATGGCAGGTTGTTAAACAGGACCTCACTTCATTTTGGATTAAGATATGGTGGAATATTCAAAATATTTTTAAGAAAAAGATAAAGTTTAAGCCGCAGATATTTTTGTTGGGTATTATGGAAGACTTGAATGCAAAAGAAATGGAATTGATGTTGAACTTTATAACTGCTGCAAGACTACTAGTAGCTCAATATTGGAAAACGGAACATTTACCCACTATAGAAGAATGGTCACTTAAAGTCTCGAACTTAGCAGAAATGGCCAAGATTTCCGCTTATGTGAAGGATTATTCACAAGAAAGATGTATTTTGGTTTGGAGAAGATGGATAGATTATATTGAGCGTAAATATGGGACCAAAAAATATCATTTGGTTTTTGAGTGAATTTTAGAGTATTATTGTTGTATAAAGGTTAGAATAGTTTATTTAGTACTATTTTTAATTATTAGAGTGATGTTATTATTATTGTTTTTAATAACTGTATATTTGTTTAAAAGAGAGTTAAAGGAGGTTATAGATATGTTATTTTAATAGTTGATTAATGTTAGTTAGAGTATGATTATTTTATTGTTAATCCTGTGATTGGCACTGGGAAGTGAGGGGGAGGGAGGGGGGAGTGGAAGGGTGGGTTGGGGAAGGGGAGGATTTATATTGTAAAACTTTATAAAATTTTCAATTAAAAAAAAACCAAAACAAAACAGGACCTCACTTGATCACCATTTGTGACCTCCTATGGCTTCCCCATTGACCTTGTCAGAAACCAGTGGGGGGGAAAAAATGTAAATGGCACTCACGGTTGTAGGATGATGCAGTGTTATAACTACAAGCTGGGGGCCAAGTACTTGGATCATGAACATGTGACATAGGGACACTGCAACAGCCAAACTCTGAGGACCAGTCATATCACTTGTTCAGCATCATCACAAGTTTGAAGGGTCACTGAATAAATGATTGTTAACACAGGCTACCTGTAACACATTGGTATTTGAACTGAACTAATAAGTGTGATTTGGTCCAGGTGCTTAGATTCTGCTACTACTTTTTGATTCCAATAAAAGTTATAATTCAGTTTAGCTTGCAGGACTGCTGCTTCGGCTTCTGAAATATTCTGACGAGAAGGGAATAAACAGCATGTGCTTACTTTTATTTCATGGGGCATTCAGGATTGTGGACTGGGAGAAATTTGCCTTGGGGGATATTTTTAATGGGGCTGTAAAGAACTTCCCAGTCTGTTTCCAGAACTGAATCCAGAAGTTTCCAACTTTTTTTTGCATTTCACAGTATGGGATGGAATATCTAGAAAAGCAAGATTATCACAAGGAGATAAAGTCTTTAGAGAAAGAAGTTACTAGACTAATAATTTCAAGGGGCAAATTTTCAGGACAAAAAGTCAGTCCCCAGACTAAGTATTTCAGTGCTGGCATGTAGATGGCCTTGGAAACAAACCACTAGGCTTTCTCCACCTTTTATTCTCATTTTCTAAGAATGCTTGCGGGCTTCATGCACAGCATGCTAGCATCCTATGTTGCTTTTTCAAAACAAACATTAATTTCCTTAAAAGGAAATGCATCGGCGAGCTGAGCAGGGGGTTGGAAATTATGTCCATAGGTATAGCGGGCTCCAAGCTGGGGATGAAATGAAATCTGTCAAATGCATTACATGCCTACAGACCAGGGCTGCTGCTTAAGCTTGAACTCATCAGCTTGATCCAACCAGGACTAGAAGGAGTAGAAGTGCTTAGAATGTTGTCAATTACTCCATTCCTCCTGGTCACATGATCAAGAGGGAACATACAAACAACAGCTGTAACACAAGTGGAGGGCCAAAGACACATGCACTACTCACATGCATACCTCTAGATTAGGAAGAAAGAGCACACACACACACACACAAATTCCACAGGTTACTTCTTTACATAGAATAGATACCTCCTTTGACCACTGATGAAAAAGGGCTGGGAAGGAATTTCAGAAGCAACCATTTGCTTTCCCTGTTTAGGTTATTCTAAAAGTCATCCAAAGCTGCATCTCCCAAGATTTATATTACCGAGCAAAATGGTTTTAAAAACTGGTGCTACATCACTTCCCATTTCTAAAGCCTTTTAAATTCATGATTCTCACACACAATAATATTAACTTTCTGAGCGAAGGGGGGCGTTTTTGTCTGCCTCTGCACAAAGACTGCCAAGTCAAGATCTTTCTATCTTTCAAGACTACATTTCTAATACAACCGACAAAGAGAGAAACCGCAAGCCTCTGGTTAAAACTACAATGCTGTGCAGTCCTGATAAGACCCTCAGCATGGTAGAGACTTTCAGTTTAAGTTCAGACTCCTTAAACTACTAAACGTTCAGCACCGTTATCTTTTGTAATGAAATTACCCCCATTAAAATTTCAACGATCAACACGGTACAGCCTACATCTACCAAATTTCCCATTTTATTACCATAATAAAGAGGCTGGTCGCCAGCAGTTGGCATTTCATAGCTCGGACCCAGGATCTCTTTCCCATGCCTTCCACTTCTTATCACCGACTACTAGAGAAGTTGCTAAAGGGACTGCCAGAAAAAGTTGCATCATTGCATCTTGGGAAATGTAGTCATGATGACGAACTGTATTTGTGGTTTTGTGTGTGTGTTTGGTTTTGGTACACTTTCATGTGACTGTTTTATTTTGATAGCCTAGCTAGAACAAAAGTTCTCAGTGGCACCCCCACTCCCAATTACTTTGTGCATATCATTCATTTCACCATAGAAGTGACTGTGAAACCTAGAAGCGAGCTAGATAGATAGACAACACTGGACCATTCTCTGAAATGACCAAAATGGATCATTCTTTGAAAGGAAAGTGGTACAGTCTGAAATGACCAAAATGAACATTAAATTTTGGACTGACCCTATTTCTTTTACCCAATGCTGGACAGTCCCATGTTCATTTAAGAAGAGCATGTATCATAGACAGAAAAATAATTGTAGTTACAATCAAACTTCAATAATAACTCAATATTTTCTTAAACAGAGAAAAAGAATGACCATGGTTAGGCAAAAACAAAACAAAACAAAACAAAAAAAACCCAGTGGGAGCAGGAGCAATTTCCGACTTTCTGCCAGCTTTGCCTTTATCAGAAGTCAGAAATCACAATCATGTGACCACAGAGAAACTGTCTGAACATAGTGGAAATTTTAATTCCACAGGAGTAATGGATCTCAGATTTTTTTACGCATACATTAAATTAATGGATTTGGGGTATCTTGATTCAAAAATTGTTGCAGTATATTGCACCACTTGGGCTAATTTGAGGGTACAAACAGACATACAGATACAATGAAAATTTTAATAGTATATAGCTAGCTGTTCTTATCAATGTATAAATGCTCTATAGGCATTGGTTAAATAACAGTTATCTGGACAATTAATTGGCATGTACTTCTCTAAGCATATTTTAAAAGGCTTTTTAGCCTGTTTTTATATAAAGAACAGAGTATAACATTCATATTGCTGCCTATATCAAGCTATGTCTATCTAGTTCTCTAATATAGTAGCAACCATCTACAATTATTAATGGAGCTGAATGTTTAGTGATTATTGGTACTCCACAATGTGCGACTTTTTTTAACCAGAGGCTTGCAGTTTCTGTTTGTGGTTATAACTGTTATTCAGATCAGTCATTTTAACCAGGCTGTGGATGTTTTAAATAGTTTTCTCCATCACATATTATGTACGTTTTCAAAAGTCATTAGTCTGTGGTGGAGTGTGACTGCAATAAAAGAATAAATTAGTGAATAAATGTTTGTCATTTGAAATGCATTTAGAAAAGTCCATGAGACATTTGCAGCTTTAATCCAAAAACAGAAATAGATACACTGATTTGCCCAGAAAATATTACTTTAATATGATTGATGCCTGTATTTGTAGCTATATTTTAGTATACATGTGAATACTAGAATATTATATCTTATTTGCATCTTCTCTTTTTATACAATTATATCAGTGATAGAGTGAACAATTGTGACAGTGTAACACTTATAAGAACATTTTCAGCTATAAATTTGGGACACATAATAAAGCAGCTAAAACATGATATAAATTGGAACAATCCAGAATAGTACTTAATTCACATGACTACGGGACGGACATCTATAATCTGTCCAATTATTCAAGCCAAAGTGTTACAAAGAGGCATGTCATAATCAATGGGCTTGCTAAAAGTGCTTTACTGGGAAGAAGAGAGAAAGTTGGAAACAACTATTGAAGGATATGAACTCACTTCAAAATGGCCTAAGCACAATAATTTGGATAGGCAGTGAAATCAAGATGTGGATGTATTTGTATGCATTTTTACACTTCTTATCATGTGTTGAAGGTTAATAAGTAATCCTAAAATATGTGAACATAAAATATGAGCATGTTTCAGAATAAAATAAAAATTATTTATGAGATTTAGATGCTACCCATTTACATAACATACTGGGCAGCCTATATGTTAAAAAAAACCAACCTAAAACAAAAATAATGTACATCTGGAAAAAGCAGATCTTCAACCATGTAAAATTCTACAGGTGGTAATATCCAACTTAGTCCTGGAGGAGCTTCTAATTGACACAAAAACATGATTGGCAGCCAGAGCACATGGTTGCCTAACTACACAACCAGAAATGATTCCAATTGGTGCAAACAAAATAATTGGCAGCCAGAGCACATGGCTGCCTAATACAACCAGAAAGAGTCTAGGTGTGTGGGTGTGTGCATGTGTGAGAGAGAGAACAGAGGTTCCCTTTTTGTAAGTTTGCTTCCTCCATCTGCTTCCCTCCTGCCTTATTCTTGCTTGCTTTCTCACAACATAACACACATGCAAACCCTCCCTGCTTTCTCCCCCTTCTCACTCTTTCCCTCCAGCAGCACCTGAACAGAGTTGGAGGAAGTTTAAAAAAAAAGATGGCGAAAGGGGGGGGGGGCTCCCTTGTGTTCTTTCCATTTTGGGATGACCTCACCCCTCCTTTCGCCCAACCTGTGGCAGGACCAGATTTCTCATTTCTTGACCACGAGGCAAAAATACTCGTTTTTTGTCATCTATTGCATCTCTCCAACTGCTGAAATTTTGGGGTTGTGAATACCTTAGAGTCTTCGCATGTGTTTCTGTGTGTGTATTATGTGTGTGTGTGTAAATCACCAGGCCGGCTGTTGAGAGAACTGGTTTGGAGGGATGTGTGTTAGAATTAGGGTCTAACCCTTCAATCAAAACTAGCCAAGGTTTTTTTTGCTCCCTCTTGTCTCCTGGTGATTGAAAGATTCTCCCTTTAAAGAACTGCCGTTCGAAGGAACTGAGAATCATCAGCAATTGTTTCAGCGTTGTTGTTTCTCATTAATATCTGGAAGTAAATATTGGCTTTGCAGTATTTTGCAGCCATGTGGGGAAGCCACATCAGCTTTGTCATTATGCCAGCCGGGGTGGGGGTGGGGGGCAGCCTCCTGAAAGGCTGGGAAGCGAAAGGCCCTGTCCCTGACTCTTTTCTCCTCTCCTTGCCTGCACTTCAAAGCAATGTCCCCCCCCCCCGCATGCCACCCGAGGCCGCCCATCCCTCAACGTGTGGATTGGCTGCCAGGATGCGTGTTTAAATGTCCCACACAGCCAAATGGTCCTGGAAGAACGCCCCGCCCCCAGGCATGCGGGCAGGAGGCAGTGAGCACGTGGGGGCCAACAGTGTCTGGCAGTGTCTCCCTTCCCTTACTACATCCTTTAGTAAGGTTGTCTTCATTTGAGATGTATCTATTTAATTCACTGGGCAAACAATGTGAGCTCTCTGATAGCACATCCTCCTCCTCCTCCTCCTCCGTAGATAAACTGCAAAAACACAATACAATCCCCAGATCATTTTCACAAGCGTCTGTACACTCTTCATTACTTGAAATGTATCTCGCTAATGATGGATCAGTGTCAGTCATATCCCAAAACAGAGACTGTAAAATATAAAAACAACTTATTACTGTGGTATCACCATCAGCATCTTTTTACTGCTTAACATATAATATATATATAATATATTTACTGGCTAGTCTTCAAGGCAGCCCCACATACAACATATTGTAGTAGTTCACCTGTGAGGTCACGAGAGGCTGTATGAAGAACCTCTCAATGTTGAAATGAGCGTAACTGATGCACAAATTGAATCTGTGCAAAAGCCTTCTTGGCCATAGTGGTCACCATTACATGAAGGAATCCCTCCTTGCCCCATGATTGACCCATTCTTTTCCTTAATCCTGGGAGAGAGATTGCTTAAACAAGCTATCTCTTCCCGAGTGACCTTTTTCCATGGTGTGCTGCTTGCTTAACAAGCACAAACCACAAACTAACAAGCTCCCTGCTCTGACCTTAATAAGTTAATTGGTTACTGGTTTCACCTCCGAAGCGGTTTGCTCCCCACGCGCTGCTGCCTGTTACTGTACTAACAAGCTCGCTGCTTGACCCTAATAAGTTAATTGATTACTGCTTTCATCTGTGGTGTGGCTTGTGCCTTGCCACAATTGGTTAGCCAAGGGAATCAGCCTGCACTCTCGTGTTCCTGCCAACTGTGTTCCTTCCAACATTCAGAATCTTAACTGATGATACGGTGTCCCTTCTGAGAAAATCAAAGCAGAATCCGGATGGATGCATGACTCCAACTTTAGCTATATTAATGGTCTTAAAGAATTATGATCAGTATTGGTGCAGTGCCCTGATCTGAAAACTGACTAAAACAAGTCCAAATAACAGATCCAGATAATCCATTCTTCTGGTTTATTTAGAGCTGTAGCCGACCACCTCTTCAACAACCTTCCCTAAAAAAGGCAAGTTTTTTAGGGAAGGGGAAAAAAAATGTCCAAAATTGTTGGGTCTAGTGATGGCTTGTTAAAGAAGGATGTATACCTCCACATTATGCCTGACAGAAACATCTTCTTCAAAGAAGCCAACACTACTGTGTGGACTCAACCACATGTCCTTTCCCGAGCCAGGAAGGATACTGAGGATCATTTTTGCAGCCTGAAGGACCTTGTCCAAGTTATCAAGGATCACAGCCTCACTGCCATGTCTACTATCCAGACTTTTTTTGTCTTTCTTATCAACAATTGTTAAGTCTGGAGTGGCAGGGGCTTATCTGTTTGAATTCAAAAGTCCCAGAGCACTTCAGCTTCGTTTTCTACTACTGTGTCTGTTTTATGGTCCCCCCAATTCTTGCTTGCAAGCAAATGATATTTCTTGCAGATATTCCAAATGCATCATTGCTGCTACTTTATCATGCCTGAATTACAATAAGCCTGATTAGGTTTCCTTCTTGTGTCAACTGAACCTACAAAAGAACATTAAAGCAAATGAGACAGAAATTAAAATGAAAATTGGTGGGAGAAACATTAACAGTGTTAACAACATTAACGTTAACAATGATACGATGATAAGAGCCGTAGTGGCACAGTGGTTAGAATGCAGTACTTCAGGCTAACTCACTGCCCACTCCAGGAGTTCGATTCTCCATCCTT